AAAGGGGTTTGAGTATGAAATTTGGATTGGGTACTCATTTACTACAAAAAAGTAACACTCGATTTACTCTCATGCTTTTGACAAAGTTTGTATTTTAATAATTATTGTTTATGTTCTAAAATTACGAAAATGCAAATTTCGTCAAAACCATGAGAGTAATCGAGTCTTATCAAGAGTACCTTTTTTAAAGTAAATGAGTTGCGCAATCTAAATTTCATACTCAAATTCCTTTTCTTCCATTGTCGTAGAATTTTTAAAGGTGCAATTATTTAAAAAATCAAGTTCTACGCCTATGTATTATTATCGGACAAAATTTTAATACCATTTTTTTTTTCCACATAAAACTCTACCAATGTACCAAATTTCAGCAAAATCGCATATGCCGTTTTAAATTTATATGGGAAAAACGATTTAAAAATTGTAACTTCAAGGCCCTCTGGAGCCCAAACGAAGCAACTTTGTACTAAGGTAATTTTACTTAAATCGACTTATTTTGGTCTAAGGAATATGTGGTATGTTTTTGTAAAGCCCTTTTACAGACACCCTGTATACTTATGGTACGATTTCTTTCCAGGAAAACACACCAAATAAAAGTCGCCGATTGAAGTCATCTATCTTATTTTTTTTTAAATACATTGCTTAGCGGTTCTTCATCATCGTTACTAAAATGTTCAGATGATATATCATCTATACTGGATCCACTATCCTGCCATTCATCGTATACACTTCCTGAACTCTCAGAATATGTTGCTTTTCTTTGTTTTTTTGGTAAATATTTTTGGTTTCGCTGTTTTATTCTGAACTTGTTTAGGTTTTCAATCTTATTGCATAATTATAAGTGAGTAGTTCTCAGGAATTTGCGAAAATCGTGTCCATTCTTAGTTTTATATATTATTAACGTTGTATTCTAGACTTTGTATTTTTTCACGAAAACTATACTACTAAAGCTACTCGAGCCATACTTAATTTAATTGTTTCAATCTCACAATAATAAATGGTAAATATCAGAATACTTCAAATATCATTCCCTCATCGTGTCCCAAACTCAAAATTTTAATTACATTGTATCATTAATTTATTGTAATCTGTGCATTTGACTAGTTTTGATCATTACTTATATTAAAAATAGTGCATTTAACAGTACATACCCTTTTCATTAGGTACCGAGTAAGAAATCATTCGAAAATTTAATTTTTATCTGGGTCCCAAAAAAAAATCATTCCCTCACTTTTTACTAAAACCTGGATTATACTTTTACATCGGATCGTAGGTTGCCGCGCTTATAAATTTTTTGCAGTTGACAGCATTGTCAATGAAGCCATACCATCATTGTTACAAGGCGCGAAGAGATGTGTTGTCACATGGTTTTTATTTAATTAATCAAATGTAACATTTTTATGTCTCATTAGCTCACACCGTCTGAATAAAAGGTAATTATATTATTTGTAATGATCATTATGATTTTTCACATGTTTTAAGGACTGAAAATCTTGCCTCGAATCGGAATTTAATTTGAGGTTATGATTGACGAGTTTTTGTAGGTTATGTTTGATTTTATCATTTGCTCACTATCATTCCATCACTATTCTATTAATGAGGGAATGGGAATTTATGAGGGAGTGATGAAATCAAACATAACCTACAAAAACTCATCAAAAATAACCTCGAAATAAATTCATGTTAAGATAAAATAAGACATTTATTGTGTTGACTTAATCTAAATATAGTAATAATGTTTAAAAAATTAATTCCTTCACTTGAATCATTATTTCCTCATAATTGATTTTTTTATCATCACTTTATTATCATTAATATCAAGAAAGTTGGGGACCACATAGTCAGCTGGGGTAAGTTACTCATGTACTGTGAATTGGATATATGAAATTTTTAATTATTGCAAATTATATTCTTATTATGATTCGAAGTCATTTTTCGCAAATTTGTAAGAACTATTGATATGAAAACATTATTTTAACTCACTTTAAAAGTATCCGTAAAAGTATTCTTTAAAGAATCCGAAAAAAGTATCCGAGTACTTTTTAGGTGAAAGTATCTTAAAAAGTATCCGAATACATTGTAAGTATCCGTATCCGGTACTCGGATACTTTTTTCCTGTATCCGTGCAACTCTGGAGATGCACTACTACAGGGGATATATTGTGGCACTGCCTACTCGGGACGATGCGTAAATATATTCAGATGGAAGGTACATGTAGTGGGGATCATACAAGCGTTATTCGTAATGTATTGAGTAAAAAAAATTAAAGAGTCTAGGAGAATCCAATATAGTATTTAACCATAGAGCACGGGTCATTCGTAAATTTTACGAAGCTCGTACAACATCGTGTTTTTTTCACCACTTCTGCTTATTGTATCGGATCGCCCGACTGAGTACCTTCCTGTCTAATATTAAGCTAGACGGTCGTTCTGATTTCTAACTCTAAAGTGACTTTTCGGCGATAGGTTCGTAAAATTTACGAAACTCCTGTGTTTACGTATTTTTTTATATTTAACTTGATTTTTTGCTATAGTTTTTTTTAGTGTTTACAAAAATAATTTTGAGGTAAGTTATATTCATATTTTTTCTATTTTGATATAAGTATATTTATAGTATTTTTTTTAGATGTCAAATAAAAAAAAATTTGACCCAAAAACAACTGGAGGAAGAAGCGGAACGTATCATCCAAGGTCGTGAAAGTGATCCAGAGCCATTTGAAGATAGTGGCAGTGATTGGGAAGAGGATAATGTAGAAGTAGAATCATGTGGCTCCGATAGTGAAGACGATAAAGATAATTCGGCTGATGCTCTCGACCAACAAGAACTTAGCCCAGTTCAATCTGAAGAAGATCAAAATATGTAATAAGTTTCCAAACAAAAAGTCTAACAGGCAAAAATGGTCACAAATGGTCCACGGAATTGCCTAAAATGTCCAAAAAGACTGCTGCTAAAAATATTATTCATTTTATATCGGGTCCTAGGGGGAATGCGAAAGAGTGTTCTAACCTGGATGAGTATTTTTAACATTTTTTTTCTGACGATATAATAAGAAATTATTGTGCAACATACAAATGCAGAAATTGCCATGCAGGCTCAAAAATACAACGGTCACCAGAATGTCTCTCCAACGACAAAAGACGAACTGAAAGCGATCTTTAAAATTTTAATCCTTTCTGCCGCAAAAAAAAGATAATCATTTGTCAGTAAGGCACATGTTTGATAAAAATATTTCCGGCTCGTTTCATAGATCGTGTATGAATTGTGATCGTTTTTCGTTCCTGCTTATTTGTCTTAGGTTTGATGCTAAGGAAACAAGACAGGAAAGAAAGGCAGATGGTCCTTTTACACACATTCGAGAAATATGGAATATTTTTATTGAAACTTGTAGAACATCATATAGTCCATCGTCATACGTCAGAATTGATGAGCAGCTGTTGGCATTCCGAGGACGATGTCCTTTCAGGATGTACATACCGAACAAACCGGCAAAATATGGAATAAAAATTTTCATGCTTGCCCTTATTTGGGAAAGAAAACAAAAACCAATGACTTGCCTCTAGCTAATTTTTATGTCAAAGAAAGAAATCAATTCATGGCACAAATCGCAACGTTACCATGAACAATTGGTTCACATCGGTTCCTCTTGCTGATCAGTTGCTACAAGATCTCTACAAGTTAACCATAATAATAGGAACTATACGCAAAAATAAAAGAGAGATACCCAAAGAGTTCTTAGATGGAAAACATCGGAAAACAAATACGTCAATGTTTTGTTTTGATCAAAAAAAGACATGATTATCATACATGCCCAAAAAAAAACAAATTAGTTTTGTTACTTTTAACATTGCATGAGGGGGCAGAGATAAATGAAGAAACCGGGAAGGCAGCAATAATTCATAACTATAACGAGACCAAAGCAGGTGTGGACACATTCGACCAAATGTGTTCCAATATGAGTTCGAGCAGGAAAACACGCAGATGGCCTCTATGTATGTTCTATGGTATGATAAATATGGCTAGCATAAACTCTTACGTTATTTGCACATTTAATACAATAAAAAAGGGCCAAAAACCTGTTTCAAGGTACCAATATATGATTGATTTGAGCCTTTGCCTTGCGAAACCGTGGATGATGCATAGATATAATATCCCAAATTTACGTCGAAACATTCGTCAAGATATAGATGAAATCCTTGGTATATTGAATGAAAACGTTATCAATATACCTCAAGAATGGAAAAGAAAGACTTACTTCTACTGTCCAAGCAAGAAAAGGCGCATAAATACCAATTATTGTAAGGAGTGCGGAGAACACCGAGGAGACATTTGTACCGTATAAAAAAATATCCGTTTCTTCATTTTAAATAAGTTACCATTCCTTGTATATTTTCTAAAAATAAAATTATATTACAAAAAAGGTTTTTTATAATAAAAAAAGGTTTTTTATAACAAAATAAGGTTTTTATAACAAAAAAAAGGTTCCTTTTTTATTGATTAGTAAAATTTACGATAGTCCCGTAAAAACGTTTGATAAGACGGTCCCGTATTCTAGGGTTAAGGATTAAGTGTATCATTTTCTACTGAGGTATAACTGTGTTCTACTAATTTAAATAATTATTGTCGTAAATAAAAGTTTAGAAACATTTTGGCTAAATGCGTTATATTTTAAAATTATTTATTCAACAAAACATAAATATAATACAAATCACAACTGACACAAAAATAATTTATTAAATAGGTATTGCATTTATGTAAAACAGAAACCTGAGAAACTTAAATAAAAATCCGAGAAGTGTTGAAGCTTGTTTTGTTACCTGTTAATCAAACTAATAAGAATATGAAAAGCCTGATAAAATAGATTATAATCAACAAAAGAAGTAATTGATTTGAAATGAAATATAGTGTTGGAAAATGGGACTAGACAAAAATGGCCCCAAATATTGATATGTATGGTTATTAATTTAGTTCAATTATTGTCATTATGCTACTTTATTTCAACACCGGTACTATTTGGTAAAATGTAAAAGTTTTTTATTGTTTTTATTTGTTGCTCACTATCTACAATATTGAATTTGTTTCTTTTAATAAAATCTCAGGTTTTCGTTTGTACCTGCTCATAGTTTTCAAATATTTCATAAGAATAAGAGAATAAGAATTTATTGCAATAGCTCTACGTCATTATTTCTTGTTCTGTATCCCTGTAAGCTATTAAATGTGTTTACTCCACCACCAATGCTAGTGTATGACGTACTTTCGTATTTGGTGTAACGGCCTAGAGAAGTAGGTTCCTCAAAGAAGTAAGTTTTTAAGCTTCCATCTATAAAAAAAAAAGAAGAAATATTTACATTAACTAAAGATAATCTCGATTTAAAACTCACGAAGTAACAATAAAATCATTTAAAAACAGGGATTGCCAAAATAGGTGCAACAAGGGAAGATAGGACACCTAAAAATATTGTAAACATTTACTAAAAAATGAGTAGTTTTTCTCGATTAATTATATTTTTTTGAAATCAAACAGACTTCGAGAAAAAAAAGTTATGAGGTATAAAACCGGGAATTTTATAAAAAAAAATTTTAACTGTATACACATTTAAGTACCTACATCAAACAATATCAACAATTTTAGTAATTTTTAACAAAACCAAATATTAATAATATATCAGTTTTAGAGTTTACAAATATGTTTACAGTAAATTTTTAAATGTCCTTCTTCTTCATTAATGTAGTCTTTTAACAAAATGTATTCTTATTTTAGTAAATGCTCTCTATTGAAAATTATTACAACTAGGATTGATAAAGGTAAATTTTAGCATAAATATTACAATTTGCACAAAGAAGGTATCATAAAACGAGTTTACCTTTGCCTATTTATGGTGAAGATGTTTTAATTCTTGTAAAAATATTATATTAAGTGTAAAATCCCTATAATTTTAAACTCTGAGAATTGAAAAAATTTAAATGTGTGTTGTGTGAATATGTACAGTGATTACAGGGTGAAATCTAAATGCAGGAAAACTTTGACTAGTCGAATAAGTTTTATTTTAAGCAAATATAGGTAAAGAAATACTTTATGGGCGACCAAAATCTATACTATAGTTTCAACGCTCGATTAAAACTGTTACAACTAAAGATACGATTCTTTATCTCTAAGGTATTGATATAAAATAGTAATAATTATTATTCTCTACGCAAAAAACAACATTTTTGTATACGTTCGAAATAAAATAAGTTAACACAAATAAGTACACAACTATAGTATGCAATTATTTAAAAAAAAAGCTGCTTTTATCAGGAACTGAACCCCAGTTCCATAATCCATATCCAAACATAGAACTCAGCCATATCTACAATAAATATCTATAGTCAGCTAGTTTTAAATTTGGCTCGTAATCGTAGAAAAAATGACGAAGGGGCGTATCTCAAAAATTCCTGAATTTGAGTTAAGTCCATCAAAAGGCGTTTTCGGAATTAATATATATTTATATACGTTATATATTAGCATTGACACAACATTATATGTATTATGTTATTTAAGCAACATCTGAAGTTACGTAACCTGTTTCTGCTTAGGCAGATACAGGCTTCCGATATTTTCTGGTTATGTTGATCCAGAAGTATCTTAGCCTGTCTTCGCCTCTCTTCGCCTGTCTTCGCCTCTCTTAGCCTGTCTTAGCTTGTCTTAGCCTGTTTTAGTGCCAAGAGATTGTTTTAATTATCGGTTCTTCCACTGCCCAATTCTCCTAATATTGTGTTACTGTTGATACCGCAGAACGACTCAGGTCCCACAAAGGGTGTTTGAGCCCCTTTCCTTGAGATACTATCTGAAATCTCGTTAATCTGTACCGCGTTAATATCCGGCACCCAAGTGAAAATAACTGTATTTTCCTCGCCTAGCTCATTTAATTTTTCTTCGCATATCCAGACCATTTTTGAGCTGATTACGTAACAGTTTAGCGCTTTGATGGCTGCTTTGGACATGATGTTCTCTTGTCTACGATAGTTTTTCTCGATGTTAAACTGAATAAACTTTTTAGTAGCATGAAATTTATCCTGAATTATGCTAGGATATTTTCCCAAACTTTCAAAGTGCTTGATTTTAGGCTTATACACTCCTATTCCAGTTCCTTCTCTGAAACTATCCATAAAAGACTGAATAGCATGTCTTTCGGTTTCCAATGCCTTTCATACGCAGGAAAATCAACAAGAACATATCTCCATTAATTAGTAGAATATACAGAAAAACGAGGAGATAATGTCAGGAGCTTTCTTGAATATCTAGGGAGCATTTGACAATACCTTCGTCGACTCTATCTTCAGAACTCTAACATACGCAGTTTTGGTGAAGTGGGCCGACACAACAAAGAGCGGCAGTAACAAAACAAAGCAAGTAACAAGGTCTCGCCTGACTATAAATAATGAGGACAATGAAAACAACCTCCACAGCAGCAATGGAAGCATTAATAGGTTTGTAACTACCTTACTTTGTGATACAAGGGAAGACAAGATTAGGTACTTACAGAAGAAGGATCGCCTTGGAAAATCTTAATATTAGATTAAATTACATAAATGTAACAAGGTTGGTGATAGGAGACGTGCTAGACAATAGAACAGATCACATAAGCAAACGTTACTCCTTCAACACTCCAGTCGAGGTTTTAATACCAAGCACAACGGAGATCACTATAATGGAACCCAGTGCCCAACGAAAAGAACATACTTAGTAGATAGACGGTTCAAACACTGCGCAAAGCAGTGGTGCTAGAGTATTTTCTAAAAACCCCAATACCAACCTTAACTATGCAATTGGAAGACTTGATTGAATATTTCAGGCTGAAATTTATGGAGCCTTGCAAGGTACAAGAAGAAACAATAGTACAGCCAAGCGGCCCTTAGGGCCATATCAAGTTAAAAAGTGACGTCAAGGATGGTATGGGAATGCATTGCAGACCGAAATAAAATAAAGACCCGCATAGTATACTTATTCGGTATACATATACAAGTTTATTGCACAAGTATACAGGAACGTGTGTTTGGTAATATTTGCACAAATTCTATATTTTTACTTGTGCATGTCGGACTTGCACAAGTAAAACTGAGCGTGTGTATGTGAAATACTTGTAGAAGCTTGAAAAAGTTGAGATTCGATCATCCCTAGACTTGTGAGATTTATGATTAATATTAATTAATAGGGGTCAAATACAATAGGCCATTGGAATTCGGTGTTGTCGGAGACTATGTCAAACGAGCCTAGGAAACTGCTACCTTTACTGAATTTTTCCTGTGGTTTAAACTATTGATCTGTATCAGTGGTCTAAACAGGCTCAGAGAAGGCCATGACAGGCACCGAACCGTTTTGTGGAGTTGCTAAGTTATTGTGCAAAGCATCCATCAAATAATGGATTCAAAAAGAGTATCAGGAAATGTGGAACAACTGTCCAGGATTGACCTAGGCCAAACAGTTCATTCAGAAAACTTCAGCCAAATTCACGAAAGACCAACTGAAACAAAAACGTCAAATTGTTAGGTTAACAGTAGATCTTCTTACTGGCTACTGTCGCCTAAGGAGGTATATAAGTGTCATCAATCCAGCAGTAGAAGCAACATTTTGTAAGTTGTATATAGAAGAAGAGGACTCATCAATTTACATCATCTGCCAGCGTGAAGGTCTGGCTAGATTGAGATTTCTAATATTGGGTAAGGAAAAACCAGAAGCATGTCAACTACATGTCAACAAAGCTATTAAGTCTAATAAAAAAGACCAAGCTCGACGACATACTTTTAATAACGAAGTCCCACAATAGATTTGAAAAGATTGCGGTGGACTAGGACACATATGTCCAACTCCATTTTAATCTAGTCTAATCTATGCAAAAGTAATTTATGCGCCCGTGTGAATATGGTACTTGGTTTGCGCCTTGTGTGACAACATTTCCACTCATGTCAAAAGGTAATTTACGCATTTGTAATGTAATATACTTATTTAAAATCTTATTTAATATTAATAAAACAGACTTTGTATATTTCAGTGTTATCATTTAGCTATACATATTTTTAAATGCGGACTTGTACAAGACTTGCACCAAGTTGGCAACCCAGTCGAAAGTTTTCTTTTAAACTACATTACCCTATGCTACCTGTACTAAATTTTAACGGTCGTCTAAACCTCGGATTTGTATCAGGAGTCTAAACAGGCACTATTTCGAATATTGTAACAATGTAGGCTTTTACGGCCAGCGTCAATGTAATTGTTTCTTTCCGGGCTGTTATGCCATGGCCTTTCTTGGTTAAAACTACAAAACGTTTCAGCTGCAACTGCGGCAGTTATATTTTCAATGAGGATTAAAACATCATAATTATATCCCCCGATAAAGGAAATGCAATAGTCATTATGAACACATCGGATTACAGGAACAAACTGAATGATCTGGGGAATCAATACACATACATGAAATTATACAAAGATCCAACAAAGACGATTTTAAGAAAAAACAACAAATTAATAAAACAGTCATCTTTATCACCGAAGACAAAGAAGAAAATCTACACTACCAAAGGTCTACCACCTTGACTATATAGATTACCAAAAATTTATGAAGATGATGTACAACTAAGACCAATATCAAGTGCCATAGGATCACCAACCTACAACTTGGACAAACATTTAGCGGAAATTCTGAAAATACACGTGGGCAAGACAAAAATCTACGTGTGAGACTCTGCGCACTTCATCGAACATCTAACGACATCCAAGTCAGCTTTGATAACATCTCTTTATTCACAAATGTGCCACTTGAAGAAATGGTCAGTTACATAGGGAAGTTTTTTCTAGAGCTCATTAACCTTTTTCGACACTCGCTTAGAACATTATATTTTCAGTGAGATCAAACATTCTATGAACAAATTGAGGGAGTAGACATGCGCAGCCCACTTACCCCAGTTGTGGCCAATTTTTACATGGAAAAATTTGAAGAGCGAGCTATCTGCACTGCTTAAGAACAACCGAAGTATTGTCTGAGGTATGTAGATGACACATTTGTAATCTGGAGCCTCGGGAGAAAAGACTTTCAGAATTTCCTAAACCATCCGAACAGTTTTTATCCTAAAGTCCAGTTCACCATGAAAATTTGCAGTTGGGACATCATTCATTCTTGCCATGGTATAATTATTTATGTACAAACGACGCAGAAGAACGTATGAATCATTGTTTTTTATAAAACGCACGAATACAAAAAGCACGTTGTTGTTCCGTAAATCGCTTCATTGCATAATACTAAACAGTGTAGGTATATCACCATTTTTCAACTGCCTCCTCTCAGGAATGTGCCTACTGCGCCAGCGGACGTATTAATAAACGAAAATATTTCTGAGACGCCCTCTATTAATTTATTAAAAATCTAACAGAGGCGCCACTTTCTAGACGAAAAATCTTGCAATGTAAGGGTCTTGTAGTACCCCACTTCTAAAGTTTATTTTTTAATATTTCTAAAAGAAAAAAAATTTTATTGTAGGTAAAGGGTACATCTATGCTCTTCTGGAACCACTTTTTCAAAATTCAGTTTTGTTTTTTCAGAAAAAAAAAATGAAAAAATGATTAAAACAAGTCAAGTTTTGTATTTTTTTTTTTTATAAATACAAAATCAAATTTTAAAAGAATTTCTCCGAAGGAGCACAGATTTAACCTTTACCTATACGTACATATTTTTTTCTTTCAGAAAGAGTTAAAAGAAAACTTTAAAAATGGGATACTACGAAACCCTTGCATGCACTGCTCTAAAGTTAAGTTAATGCTGCTCTTAAGGACATTTTAAAAATTGATTCTTGCAAAGTCATTGGTGTTTAAAAAATTGTAAACTGTTACAATTTTTGAAACACTTGTTTTGTTATTGTTTCATGTAAATTTAAATATTGTTTTTAGTTTCTCCAACTTTATAGACACTTCTAGTTTGTTAATTAAAAGACTGCGGATGTGTGCACGTTGCTTAGATTAGCAAAAAAGATTTGTATTTTAAATTGCAAAGGGCTTTCGGCATAACGCCATTTTCAGTGCCTATTGTCTACAATATTATCCAAAAGGTTTAATAGTCTTCATTCCTATTCTTGCTAAACCTCCATAGTTATTTTCTTTAAAAAATTTTTAGGACTTATGTAGGAGACACGATAAAATTAAAAATATAAATTTAAAATAAAAATCTAAATAATGAATTTGTAAGATCCTAACAAATTTTTCAAGAAAATAACTATGAAAAATTAGCAAGGTGGGACACCCCAAAATTTAATGTTAGTAATGAAGATAATTATTAAACTTTTTGGATATTATTATAAACAATAAGTACTGAAGATTTCGTTATGCCAAAATCACTTTGCAATTTAAATAAATAATTTTGCAAGGAATACAAATCTTTTTTTTGCTAATCTACGTCTAGTTTTAGCTTATCCGTAATGGGTACGTCATGATACATCAAGATATTATAAACCACCCCTTTTGTTCTTTAAAAAAATAATTTTTCAGTTTTCATTTTTGTCCTAAATAATTTTCTCCATTTAATACATGAACTCCATGACTTTCCATTTATGTGTGTCTGACGACGAAGTAATTACTTTGAAACCAGTCTTTGTGAGAAATAAATTACCTTTCTTTACACTTTCGTCCACCCCTAAACAATACTTTCCTATTCATGTGTTTGTATCAATCTGCCTCAATCCAAAATAAAAATTATAGAAAAATTATTAAAAAAAAAATGATTGAATAATTAATTATTAAAAGAGAAATTATTAAAAGAAAAAAAAGCATACCTTCTTCATCCAAACAATGTATTGTTATTGACATATACCCATCGGTACTTGATTTCATATGTTTTTTGCATCTTGTCGTTTCTATGGGACAGGAACTACCGTAGCAAGTGGGACTATCTACATTTAAATAAATAATATTATAAGGTAATTTTCTAAAAAATTAAAAGCCAGTTTTTCCAACTTCGAATAAAGTTGAAAGTAACTATTTACTTGCTGATTAGGCAATAGGTTTATAGTTCGCTAATCTGCCAAGTAACCATACGTTTAACTTTATTTAAAGTTGAAAAATTCGGCCCTAAATATCAATAAAATACGTTGTACTTACTATTGGGGTAGTAGGCTTGCAAAGAATCCGAAACACAAAAGGCTACGGTCAAAAAGAAAAATATCCAAAATGCTGAATTCATCTTAACTGTTTAATGTCTCTTTCAAAACTAGAAAGTTATTAACAATATTTGCGAAAGTATTGGTTGATAATCGTAAATAAGGACAAAAATTTCGTCACAAGTTATCAATGTTTTTCTTGACACTTTTAAGAATTAAAGTTCATCGTTTGGCAATGAATTATTGAGAACATGCTGTTTTTAGCATTTAATTAGTGGAATGCACTTATTTTTTTCTTGATAAAGATATCAAATTACCTACTATCACATTTCGAAAAACAAAATTCGATGATAAATAAATAGAATATCTAGTCATTAATATTTTCTGATTAACACAACAAAGGTCAAGGAATATTTATAAGAAAATGATGTTTAAATTGTTTCTATTTTACTTTTCATGTGTTACAAATTCAAATTATTATTGCTTACTCTACATAGTAATACTGTCGCTGTCAAAGTTCTTCGCAAACAGCCCACCAAGAAATATAAAGTGGTAAAGTCACTCTCCTTTGATATTAAATTTTTATTAGGTGTGTTCGTAGAGACAGTTTCAAATGGTTGGTGATTCTTTTATGATGCGCATTCGTGATTTCCAACTGTTTGGGATTTATTATAATTTTTATGCTCCGCGAACGCGTTTTGTAGAGTTTTGGATTCGTCTCTATCTATTAGGCATTCCAACGACCTGTCCAAATGGCTACCAGTGGGTAATGACAGTTTAGATATGGCAACCCTGTTGTCATGTTGTCATTAACAGGGTCAATGATACATATATATAGATTGCTCAAAGCTGGTCGTTTACGAGCGGCCATATTGTCTGGCAAATATTTATTAATTTGAATCGGTTTAGAAAAAATGTGTTTTTAAAATTAATTTTTAGCCTTTAGACATTAAAAAAATAATTGCTTACATTTTTACTTCAAGGCATAAGCTTATGTTTATTTTGAAAAATTATGGATGATCTATCTATGTAACTATCTATTTCATTGACCTTGTCAAATCACCAGGCCTACAGGGTTGCCATAATTTTGCTATATAATAACCCGTCAAAACCAATGAACTGGAGTGGGGTAGAAAGCCAATGTACATATTGTATCAATAGAACAAGGTGCGACTCTATGGGCGCAGCCATTTTGATTTCTCATCTCACTCGGGAGTATTTATAACAACCATTTTCTGTTTCACATTGTTATTGTTCAATCCACAAGCTGGTGGATCAGACAATAACAAAGTGAAATAGAAAATGGTTGTTATAAATACTCCCGAGTGAGATGAAAAATAACCTGTCTTCGCCCATAGAGTCGCATCTCAAGCCTATTGACAAGCATTCTACCCCACTCCAGTTCATTGGTCAAAACCCACTGGTAGCCATTCAGTTTGGAATGCCCAATTCTCGTATTTTAGATACATATTTAGTAAACGGATAAAAAAAGAAGAAAATATTTGAATTTTGACGTAGCATTACTCACAGAATGACCACGTATGTGTTTTTTTTTAAGGAATTGCACCGCATTTTATTAAAATATTTTACTTTTTTACCTGTTTTGAATCCTTTCTTCATGTTTTGAAGTTAAAAGCTGATATTTTATCAGAATAGTGGATGGTAGGTTTTTGTGGTCTTATGTAATTGCATACTTTATTAAATTTAATGTATGTGTATTAATTACACTCATAAAAAAAACAACTAATCACATTAACAAAAGCACGGACGAATGATAAACACATAAATTTCATGCCAAACAAATGTCGAATTGTAGGTTATTAAACATATTTTATGTGCGCATGCCCCGGATTTAAAATCCGTAGAATAATCAGGGATTTTTCCAACCGTTTCTAATCAGATGGAAATCACTTCATTTGTTTCTACGAACGTCAAACTAATAATTGGAAACTATCAGTGATTCTTCTACGAACGCAAAATATTCAATGCACATGCGCTGTTCAGTTGGAAACGGTTGTGGATCGCTCTACGGACAAACCTATTATCATCTTCTGCGACC